CTTATATTGACACTATATTAGAAAAAAAAATGAAATCTTACTTGCTATTTTAACTCTTTTTCTCTTATTGTCTCGTTTAAAAATGGATTCTTGCAATATTTTAGCGCTGTTTCCAGCACTGTAAAAAAAGGACATTACTCTTTCGTACTAAAAAAACAATTTTTAACAATGTAAGTTATCAATATAGTGTATGAATTAGTTTATTAAATTTTTTGCATGCATTTCGGTTATATTTCAAATTTTATTATTCGTTTATAAAATAATGACCGTATGCATGCGAAAAATTATCCTTATGGAAATTATATAACTTAAACACCTTAAACACTACTCTGTGGTGAACGTATGCGGTTTTGAATCCTTAAACACAACTCTGTGCGTGCGAAAAATTAGATAATGCAAATCCTTAAATAAGACTCTGCGTGCGAAAAATTAGATAATTTAAATCATTTTTGGAGGTTATAAAGAGATTTTTGGTAAAGCTTGCTTTAAATGTACATTTTCTTTTTAAAAAAAAAAAAAACCAACAATTGGAAAAAAATCTAATAAGTGCATTTATTTGCCTTCATAGAATCTTAGAAAAATTGTTTAGGTCAATTTTGAATAATTTTATATTTTATTCCTGATTAGGTTCCAAAAATAATATAATATAAAGTGTTCCAATATCTTTTTATCTAAAATCAAGAAGTAAAAAAACGGATTTACAAACAAACGTCCATACACATACGTCCACATTTGACTTGAAAAAAACGGTTTAAACTTTTACTGCGGTAAGTCCATTTTTTTTATAATAATAAATTTATCAATAAAGTATTTACAGGCATAAAGTCCATTAATCGAAATAGAACTAGTCAAAACCTGTCACTTACCAGAACCTCTATACATCGAAATAGAACTAGTCAAAACAATCCACTCAACAGAACTCACTGCGGTAAGTCCATTTTTATAATTAATGTTTGGTTTAACCCTCCAATAGCTTCAACTAAAGCTGAAATTATTATTCTAATAATTAATAAGTTAGATAAAGAATATGAAATTGGCATTAAAGGATTAATTTTTATTATTTTTGTTGTGTTAATAATAGTAAAGAATTAGCTCAGGATAAACCTTCCATTACGGTAGGATTTATTTAACTAAATGGAGCTGATGCACTTTTTAAGAGGAGTATATATATTTAAATTCATATTAAATTGAAAATTGCTAAAATTTCATATCTACTTAAAAGAGAAATAACGAAAAAAACAAGAAATTTTATTAACGGACAAGTGTAGATCGATTCAGTATTTGATGCTGATCGAGAATATACATGCTTAGAAGTGGCTTTGGAGCTTCTTCTGGACATTATGTTATTTCAAGCACAACGGTGATTTGTTGCGCTAATCCTTATATTCGTGTAATAAGTGTAAAAATACATTTGAATTTTTACTGCGCTATTTATCAAAAGACCGTAGAGCAAATTGAGATAAATTTTGAATAACGCATTATTTGTGCAGCAATTGCAGCAATTACAGGTGATGAAAGAATGTTCACAATTACTTCTGCCGGCTGATAAAATTGCAGTTGGTTCCGGGGATGGTACATGCATTTTATTGCTTTTATTATGATTATTTGATGCAACTCTCGCTCGGTAGTGGGACTGTTGATTCGTGTGCTGTTGCTGTTTGCTGCACGACAACCAAATTTTGAAGATTTTCTAATTGATTTATTAAGATATTATTGGAAATCAAATCGATTTGCGTTTGGAAAGTCTGCTGAATTTGTTGCTGTTGCTGTTGATCAGATGTATGCGTAAGTACCGCATTCATGGCTTCACGATCATGTTGACTCAAACGGAGATTGGCTAGTTGTACTAATAAGCCATATTTAGAAATTTCACCTAAATTAAAAACATTTATTTGCTTATTCAAGTTTGAATGTACGGATGTAATTTTACAATTTAGAAAAATACAGAAAGTTGTTTACCGAATTAGCTTTTTGAGTGCGATTTTCTTTAAATTCGTCGTTATTGATATCATCACCCTCGCCAGAATTTTCTTGGTTACCGAAATAAACTTCCTCGATCGTGGCCATCATCCGAAACCGTACAGTTCAATTGTATCCAAACGTGACGTTGGGCCACAACTGAACCTTCGGGTTCAACCTGACCCACATAAGTTATCCGCGGCATTTTCATATGCCTTGCCACCTCGCAAATGGCATTGTAAAAGCGCCTCATAAAGCATTTATCGGGCAATAAATTTTCATCGACACGATAGAAGAAAAAATATCTTTAAACTATCTTTATTGCACCACTTGCGGTATGGACGTATTTAACATCCAGTAGGACTTAAAATAGGCCCACCTTTTATTATACCAAACAATCCAGAATCGTTTTTTCAATCGATATAAGCTTCTCTGTCCATTTCTCTGCCTGTCGGTATAGGTTGCAATTTTGGAGATATTTTGATGAAGTTTGATGCACTGACATGCTTTGCCACAGGAAGAACGCTGTTGAAAATGGTTTGGATCGGTCCACTTTTCCGACCACTCCCCATCATTTGAAAAGTGGTTATAGAAGAAATAATTTATTATATATATGTCAATAATCATTATTATTTTATCAATATCAAAATTTATCGAAAAATTTGTTTCAACTGGGGCAAATTTTTTCATCCCGCTCCAATCTAACTGTTTATACGAAAACTGGATCTATATATGTTAAAAAGATATAATTTTCAATATTTCGTGGTGAAAAATGGTTTATAAAAGTGAATTGAAATCAACTTTGCCAAATTCTAACCATTTAAGTCCACTTTTTGCATATCACCGCATATAAGGATTCTCAAGGAATGTAAATTTTTATATGTCAAAAAGGCCTTGGATTAAATTCCATATAAGATTTGTCATGAAGAGTAACCCCTTATAAAAAAATTAAACTACATTTTAAACTATTAAAATTTTTAACTTTTAATATTTTATGACGAAATTATTGCGTAGCAAAATTTTAGGGAAAAATTAACGGTGCTGAATTCGAATCAAATAGATCTATTTTGTAAACCGTATTATATATATAGAGATTATCATGAAAAGTAAGCCCTTTTATGGAGAGAGAGTGTGGACTTTCATGAAAAGCATGGCTTTCCATGCAAATTGTGTATAATTTTGGTGTATTCTTACTACAACGACTGCACAAGTGTTTTAGAGAAGGCTGTGTAGGGTATCTTATTATTGGCACCGCCAAACTATAATTTCCGTAGTTGTTTTTGTACAGTTATTGCGACAACAATGGAAGCAATCAATGAATTTAATTTTTTTCTTTTGTTATTATTGTACAACATATGAAGACAAAGCAATCACACATAGAAGTAAAGATATATGTAAAAGAAGCCTATAATCATTTTAACACGAACTTTCAATACCTAACACATACTTTCTGGTTACTCGTTTTATAGTCTTAAACGAAGGCAAATATTTAAAACCAGCAACGAAAGACCCCACATAGGGTGATAATAAAGAAATACATTGATAGGTCTTTCGTCAATAAATTCGAGAGAGTGACAAGATCATTACGATTTTTACAAGCGCCCGATCCGAAATAGTTGCCTGCCACAGTTCACATTTCTTTGCCTTAAAGTGGTTACAAACATTTTAACACATTAAGTGGACATTGTTATTATATTAAATAATATAAAAATTAAAATTTTAATTAAGGTTAAGTGTAACAACGTATGTCATTCATAAAAATAATACTTTTTTATGCACTACACTACAATTGTGCAGCACCTAAAAGTGCTTGAGAGAGACCTACTTCTTATTATACCGATCGATTTAGAATCACTTTTTGGTTGGATTTAAACGTGTCTTTCTATGTAGTCATCTTTTTCCTTGTATTTAATCTATAAGCTTCAATTTGTTAAACATTTTGATGAAATTTGTATGCTGACATTTACTGGTAAATGCAATTGGTTACTTATAACGAAAACTGAAGTTTTCAATTCAATGCTTCCATTATATCATACCAGTAATTTAACATAAAAAAATTAACTGTAGTAAATTTGGACCTTCTCGGCCTATTTTCAGAATCCTATCCTAACAAGGATTTTCGCGAAAATCGATCCTTTGTAGAGAAGTAAAGTCTAAGTTTTACCACGTTGTGATAAGAATGGACCCATAATGTTACCGTAATTTCATACAAAAACGAACTTTGAATTATATTACGATTTGGGCCCGTTTCCCCATAATATGCACAGGAAGAATATGCCTTTGTGTAGAAACAAGATATAATTTTTGTGTTCTATAATAAAAATAAAAATTGTGTTAGATAATGTGGTGTAGCATATTTGCTGGTCGGCTATCATCTGGATGGAGATTAATTCCACTTTGTAACGTAGTGTTAAGCAATTCTAAGAAATCACTCACAGACATGCTTCCCACAATCAAACGAAGCGCGGTCCATAAACGCGACTCCGTCGTCATACGTTTGACTAAAGCGACGGCTCTTATCGCATTTTGATCATCACTGCAATCAATTTCCAAAACGTTATTAATAATACGTAGCATATCCTCTTCAACGCCACGATCTTTCCCAATTTTAACGATTCAAATAGTCAATGATAAAAGTTCGAGATTTTTAAACATCATAAGGTAAAGCCACAATTCTAATGACGTATGCATATGACATGTTCCCATTGCAATTGCATTTTTCCATAGCCTATTTTTCTGATAACCTATGAATTTCGTGTCGAACGAACAAATCATCGTTTGAGGCTATGCATGAAAGAATTTTCTTTTTTCGTCCATTTCTCCATTTAGTCCATATATAGATAGATGTAAGGAGCAAAGCAGCACACAGTTCAGTTCAATTTAGTTCAGTGTTTTTAAAGTTTTTGGGATGTGTGGTTAAGTCTTATCGCATAGAAGAAGCAACCTATGATATACTGTCCACTGTTTCTAATTTAATTTCCAAATGCACATTCGTTTGATGCACTTCTGTTGATTACTCGGAATCCACTCCTGGCCTCCTTTTAGTTGGTATCGTTTGTCGCTACAGGTGATTGAGGCTTTTTCTTTTCCTCAAGTGTTGCCGGCGGCGGAGGTGGCGTTGTCATTCTAACACCTTTATCTTCAGTTAAGTTCATGCCGAGAGGCAATTTAGAACTACTTTCGAAAGTCTCTTACAATTCTCATATTTTACACAGCAAATTTTTAAAAACACTAAAACACAATAACTTTACATGGATATGACTTTTTTCATCAAAAGGATTCTTTCCTTTTGTTTCTTAGAAAATAGAATATTTTATGCAGTCTTTTCGAGCAGATCAAAAGTTACAAATGGAGACCGCGAAAATGAACAATAAAAATGTAAATTGCCGTTAAGTAGCGCTTTTTGGTTTTGTTTCTTTTCGTTTGTTCTTTTCGTTGTTAAGCTACAAATACGTTATAACATTTTTTGTATTAAATTTTTAGGATCTTAGAAGTGACAACGCATTTGCAATAGAACAAATTAGCTTTTTTATATTGGAAAACGGCGTTTGTAGATTACGTAGTCTACAAATTTTTCAACAAACAGAAAAACTTGTAAAATCTTGGCTTAATTGATGTAATTTTATTATATGATTCTTCGTAGTTACTGATAAGCTTCTTAAGATATCTTACATCACCACAAGCATAAGCGTAAATAATCTATATAATCTAATCTATTATCTAGTGTCTGGCAAAGAAGTAAAGAAGAAATATATAGAGCAACACACTTTTTCTATAGTTATTTCATTTATTTCTTCGTAGGTATCTAAACAACCTTAGCTCTTTCATTATTATTGAGTGTTCGAAGTTTGCTCTTATATATTGAGCACGAGCCAAACTTGTTGGAAACGACAGGCGAACTTGTTGAACATTATTATTTGTTTGGGCTTATATCTTGTGACTGTTCTGGATTTCCGCCGCTCGGGATTCTATTCAGTGAGCTTCAACGTGGGAGCATAAGTCTTAAATCGAGTTCGTAACAAACGTGTTTTTTTCAAACTTCGTATTCCTTTTGTTTATTTTCATTCAAAGCGTTGCCATTTAAAAGAAAAAATAATAATGTTATTTCTACTTTGCACGGGTAATCCTTATAATCCTTATAACATTTTCTACATTTTTCATGCGCTCATTGTGCGTTTGCTTTTTGATTTTGAAAGATTTTTGGCTTTGTTGAAAATAAAATTTTAATACCTGAGAGTAAAATTTTCTTTCCTTTCCATTTCAACTGGCACGTTTTATTTCTATACATTTTACAGTTGTTTTCCTTTCTAATTCAACTGGCACGCTTTATTTCTGTACCTTCTGCAACTGTTTTTCATACGAATTCAACTCGCATGTTATTTAGTTATATCAATTTCAAACTATTATTTTCTCTTTTTCAACCAAATGTATTTATAGTCAATAGCCATCTCTCAAATTCTCTTCCTCTAATCGCAAGCATATCGTCAGACCGCATCAATTTTTCAAATAGCTTTTAATGACATAACCAAGATTCTTTCCAGTCTTTCGAAATTCGAACACAATGTAAGTGAACGTCGTATGTATTTTAGCAAGAGAAAAGAGAGTATCCCGGAGACTATTGCAAAAAATACTTTAATCTGGTCTAGCTCCTCAGGGACAAAAATATCAATAAAAGCAAGTAAGAAAATTAAATTCGGTCGGGATCGAATCTTTTATATCCACCACCGTTAAGCTACAAACGACAACAGAAGTAAAAGAACAAAATTTTCATGCTCATGGACGCAGCTGAATTTTTCTATTTTCAAAATAAAAATTTTTGTCGCATAGGCATGTGGGCATTGTAGGCGTATACTTGGAAACGTTTAGATCAACTGCAAATTCTTTTGCAAATTTGTAAGCGATATTTTCACTAATGGGAGAATATAATATTGGATAGATGTGGGCAATTTTTTTCATTTTTGCACATAAATGCTGCAGAATCGCCAATAGAATGTGTGTCCGAGATTTCATACGTTCGTCTGCTATAGTTAATGAGAAATGAAAAAAAAAACCAATTTTTCGTACCTTTTGGAAAACAGAGGTCTTCTCAGCTTACGTGGTACTGAGGGCGGTTTGCCACATTTTCAATACGAACCTGCGTGCAAGAACTTCCAATTTTTGTGCCATATTTGAGGACGATAGCTTCCTTTTTGTATAGGTTGCTTGTTCTTGTTCATTTTAGTTACAGGTTGCTTGTTGTTCTTCCTTTTTGTAACAGGTCGCTTGTTCTTCTTCCTTTTTGGATCTTCTTCCTTTGAAGTATTTATTGGTATATATTTGTATTTGACTCACTAAAAAGAGGCAAGTCGTGGTTTGGGAAATGCAGAAAGGGACAAATTACGATGATCTTTCTATGGAATAGTTTTGTAAAGATATGATATCGCAACAAGTGTGGCTTTAGAACTTTAAAAGTCATTTAAAATGCCCCTTGTTATTAAGTCCTTGCTTTTGCGAAAGGCAGATTCTTCTCATCAAATCTAGACAATTACGTTTATTAGGAATTCCAGCCGATTAATGTACCACTTGCATTGGTCTGGTGGCGAGCGGCGGCATATCTCGTTTGTCAATCAATGAGTGTGTGTCTGAATCTAACCAAAATCAAGAAATGTGTGTGTGGAAACTACCAAAAATCAAGGAATGTGTGTCGTTTATCGTAGTTTGATTGTTCTTTTCACGATACGAAACGTGGCCACACTTACCAAGATGGTATTTCATAATTGTTTGCCATAAATAAATATGTCAATTAAATATAAATTTTAAAATTTTATCTTTTTAAGTTTTCTTTTGTGATATTGTCAGTACCATAACAGCCCCGTGGTTAGCTGATATATGGACGTTCTTTTAGACTAACTTGTAAAATTGAATAAGTTTAGTTTGCTTATTTTCCAAAAAACTAAACATCTAGAGGTGACGATAGAAGAGCGAAAGCGACCATGTCAAGGAAAAAGAATCGGAAACAATCAGGAAACCATCAAAACCATTAAAAAGATTGACAATTTCTATTTCTATAAATATATATATATACTTTACAGCTGATTGTTATTATATACGTCCTTATAAGCGCTGTAATAAATGAAAAATGGCTTTCCCTTTTAAAAGTGTTTAAGACTGTTTAAGACTGCTTAAGACTGTTTAATAAAGTTTCTATGTTGAATTCTGCTATTTTGAAACTTTTCGTAACCCAGGCGCATGATTTTGCTTGGAATTGAAATATGGTTTGATGTAGAATTTAATGTAAGCATATTTATCAAATATCAGATCGCTGCAAATCACGATTGTAACGTCAACTTTTATATATACATTAAGGCATATATACCGGATGTAATCGTTTCAGAAATTGTGAAAAAATACCCCATCTTGTGGGGTAAGGAAGGGTATGGGAAAGCAAAAAAACAAAAGTGTGGCACGAGACAACCGAAGAAGTAAGCGAGGAAATTGCTCATGTAGTTTACGCAGACGCGGGGAAAAGCTGGAAGGATTTAAACGTAAATTGAGGAAACTAGACAATAAACAGCGCAACGTTCGCACATCACTCTGGATGTATCGGTGGTTTGCCATAGAACTCGGACTGGTGCGTGTAGTGCAAACTATAACGAAAATAAATAAATTGATATTTACTAAATTTTCAAATTTTCGTTTTATTTGATTTTTTTATATAATAACGAAAATTTATTTAGTCAGAGAATCTGACACACAGTCCGCGATTTTTGGTAATTTTCAGACATACACTTTTTCATTTTTGGTAATTTTCAGACACAAATTTCTTAATTTTTGTTAATTTCCAGACACACATTTCTTGATTTTTGGTAATTTTCAGAGAAAGATTTGTTGCTAATGAGTATTAACATCCCAGTATTAATATCATATTAAAAATAACTCTGTGCTGAACATATGCGAGGGTAGAATAATATAATTCAAATTAATTAAACAACTACTCTGTGCTCAATATAAGCGAGGGTAAAATTATATAATTCAAATGAATTTTTGAGGTGTGGTGGTAGTGCAAAAAGAAAAAAAAATTTAGCAAAAAGCGTTTTCCATAACAGTGGTTTTAAATTGTGAAATTAAAAGAAAGGTGTCTTTAAAGTGAAGAAATTAATATTTTTCCACAATGTTTTCAACTGATTTACGTTTTGTCATTTATTTGACCGACAAAAAAGGCTTACCTGAAAAAATTGTTTCAACTGTTTATTGCGATAAGTGCATTTATTTTCCTCTACATATATTTCCAACTCCACCATTGAAATATACCACCTTTTCAAGCATGACTTGTTTTTCTTTTTTGTGATGAAGGGAATATTCTTAATAATAATCACAAAAAAAACATATTCACTCTCTTAAGATTATTGAAAATAAAATTTTAATTAACAATTGGGAGTTACTTTGAACATTAAGTTGCGATTGCAATCAACACGAAGAAAAAGAAAAAAAATTATCGACCCATAAAAAAAAACAAATTAAAGTTTAGTTACAGTAAATTCAAATAAGAATTATTAAAACGGTAATGAGGACGAGAAGAACAAGAGAAATAAGTAAAAATTTTGAATAAAATATTTTTATTTCAATTTTCATATTTAAGAAGTTTCTATTTATATGCTATTTTTAACTTTAACTGATGTGTTTTTATTATCATAGCTTATTATCAACAAAAATTAAAGTAATTGAATTAAGTATCACTTGAATTTGATTTCATTTAAACGAAGTTTTCTTCATTCCTGTTACGGTTGATTAGCTTTAAAAACCAATAAATTTTCAGTTCATTTCACCCGCAGATAAATGATTGGAGAATGCACGTCTTCAACTATCATTAATTTTAAACCAATTGAAAGCGTATTTCGTACAATTCTTTTTCGATATGTATTTTATTCAAATATTTTGAAATATTTTTTACTGTAATATTCTTTGAATCGATAGATATACTGAAGCAAGAATCATACTAAAAATATAAATGCAAAAGAAATTTGCCAAATTTTCCATTAGTTAGTTTGTTAATTGTGTAGGTGTAAGCGTAGGATTATTTTTGACACACGTTAACTCACTATGTAAATCTACATTTGATAAGAATTTGTTTGTAATGTAGGACATCACTAATCAAGTAAGTTACTCGATACCAAGTGAAAACAAGTATACCGTTACTTTAAGAAAAACATTGATTTGCTAAAGCCGTTTACGTATAGTAGTTGGCTTATGAAATGGATGAAATGGATGAAGCAAACCAGGAATATGTATTACTAATACGAAGCTTTATAATTGTGCGCCAGCCGCAAGGAAACACGCAGACAAACTATGTTTTCTAAAGTGAAATCTTCACCAAGAGTATAGCTTATAAGAAAATCATGGCCTTTCTCAATCATATGTGCTTTGTTGGGCTCATCGCGATTTTGGTTCACTTACATTTTTACATTCATTCTGGTGTTGCAAGTTAAGAAAGCGTCAGCGTGTCTAGCTCAGTATACAACTTTCACAATTTCAAAAAATAGAGAAACGAAAGGATTCATCACAGAAACTCAATATGAAAATTGGTAGATAGCATACATATTCGTGGGACCCTTCAACATTCTTCGTCGTGTATAGCGCTTAATCCTTTGGATCGAAAATTAATTGTCGTGTTCTTATTAAACTTGGCGTGCGAATGCATTCTAGCATGACGAACGGACGGACATGGCTAAATTAACTTAGAAAAAAAACAAACAAAAAAACAACATTGCTTAGTTAAGCACAGGCAAAAACAAACCATTAGACTACAAGCACCACCACTCAGACTGAACTGATTATAATAAAGTTTTCCTCCGATTATTTCGGAAGCTTAACGGCATAAGCAGAAGCTCTCTATTGTATTCACTTAAATAAATTTTAATGTAAAATGATAAGTAAATGTATATGCTGTGCATTCTCTAGTAGAGGCATTGCACAGGATTTTATAACATGGAAAGTTGACAAGGGCGGCCAGGAAAACAAAATTCTTAGGCGATATCACAGGCCGACATGCCGCCGGCCGTAGGTCGATAGAGAATTTGGTACTGATCAACAACTTTATAGTTAAGTTATACATTTTGGATAATAAATATATTTCAAAAAGATAACATTACACTGGCCTACATGTTTGATCACAGTAGTATTTAGGGTTAGTCGTTTTTGATATTGATCTGTTTTCTGAATAGTAAAAATCGGCTTAATTGGCTGAAATCTTATATAGATAATAATTACGCGTAGTGCGATTTTCGAAAATTCTTGTTTCATTATTTCTTTAGCTATACGATGGTAAATAGGAAAGCAACGCATGAAGGCTTAATTAAACTATTCCAGGAATACCCGAAACTGTGGCCTCCTTGGGCGGCGTCGACTAACGAAAAATAAAAGGAACTGACGTGTGGGCTTAGCTCGGAACTAAACTAGACAGTAACTGTTCGGTGGGTAACAACAATTTTAAAAGCCGCCAGCCTTGGTCTGAAAAAGCTTCACGGGGGTCGGTCAGCATCTATTATAACGCGTACCAATGGTATGCGCATAAACTGGGATATAAGAGGGCCGTAGAAACAATTAACGAACAAATCGTGCGTGACAAGAGACTAGAGGGAAGTCTCCGTTTAGAGGTCGAGGGTTTTTTTGAGTTTGAGGAAGGCGTCTAGATGGGGCTGTACAGTCATAGAGGATGTACTAAGAGGAATAATAGAAATGAATAGCAAAGCTGACACTAGCACTGACGGGACGCCTGCTTGATGTCGTGGACGCCGCTCACCGTCAGACCATAATAGCGATCGCCCATGCCTCCGCGCTATATTCCAAAGGTAAATTTGCATTTATCTTTACTCATTGTTATTTATAACTTCTTTACTTATTTCTATTTAATTTTACATTGACAAACAGGATATGCTGCCGCTCACCGCCTGACCATAGTAGCGATCGTCTATGCGTCAATAACATAATATTATATTAACTAAACTATATTTGTTTCTGAAAGCCAACATAAATGAAACAAATTTCTGATTGCTATTTGGATCAAATTTTTTTTATAATATATTGTTTGGATCCTGTCATTATTGGTGAAACACATTGCGTAGCTGAACAGATGACCGAACTCGGACAATATGTGATTTCTACAAATTTTTATTTTGAGATTTATTTATATCTGGTAGTGTCTGGCTTTCTGTCGATTGTTTCTTATTCGAATATCCTTCATGGCGACCTCACGACGAATTCCTTGAGATGGTGCTTGATTGTTCAAGAACCGATATAATTCCGAGAATTCATTTTTCTCTTCAAGTGCAGGATGTCCTTGACACTTAGTTTACATATATGTAAATATTAGGTAGTTTAGAAATTTCTACGGTTTTTCACTATGAAATAAAATAGTTTTTCTTTTATAAAGAATAAATTTTTGTTTTCGATGAATTACGTCTCACTTTCTTTCACAAAATAAACATAAGCCGGCTTCACACAACTATGTACACCTTGAATCCTAATAAATAATCCTAATTAAGTTATTTCTAGTGTCGGGAAAAACCGCAACAAATATCCGGACTACGGATATTTTTTTTACTTTTTCTCTCTTTTCCTTTAATTGTTTAATTTAATTTAATTACTTAGCCTTTTAACCTTGCTTACTTATTACATCTACAAACTTCCTATTGTCCATAACCTATGAATGGGTGACAAATCTTTGAATTCTTACCAATTAGTGAAAAAATTTGCAAAGTCTTCATTTGAGCCACATCATTTGAACGATTAAACAATGACAACAGAGGTTTATTCTAATTTCATTTTTTATCGCTAATCTTACAAGCTTGACAGTAGATTTTAGCCAAGTATAAATTTTTGGTCTCGGTTTTACAAACCTTCCTAAAAAGCAGTAAATGTTTCGTCGATCTGTATTAGTATTGAGGAAATTAGTATACACTCACTTTTCCTTTTGAAATATTTGCAAAAAATCCTAAAAACCCAAAAGAGAAAATAAAGAAGCCAATTATAATTTGTTTACAGAGAAATAAAGATCCACACAAATAAAACAGAAACCAAAATATATTCTTGCAGGTGAAACGTAACTTATGAAAAATTTGTTTGTTTTTGGTTGACCTACGCTTTGAAATTTATTCAAAGCCATCTATGATTTTCTTATACATTTATAATAAATAGGTAACCCACATATTATTCCTGTATACTTAACGACACTATTGTGTGCCTGACGATCACATTTTTCTGAATCATTCTCTTGTCCCCGCAAAATAGAAACTATTTTAGCTAACAAATCACCAAACAGAAGCAAGTAGAGGGCCAGTTCGCATTTGCTCGTCAGAAATAAAGTTAAGGAAATTACCGTTGAATATGAATAAAAAAATGTGAGAAATACGCACTGTCTCTAGGAAAAGTGTCTAATATTTTGATGCTTACAAAGTAAAGCACAAATAAACGTGATGATATTGACCGAGCCTTTTTAAATATTTTAAATATAGGTTTCTGCAGATCATGTAGACGTCTCTATAAACCACAACAAAATCGGAAAACTGCGTATTTTTTAGAAGAAGAAAACATGTATATCTAAAATATGTACACAGCAAATACATTATACATTATTTTTGCATTACTAGTCATCGCTATCGCCACCCTGATACTACTACACTGAAGTTACCCTTAGATCGTCTCCCACAGCATTCAAGGATCACATATTTTTTTTTGCAGAAGTCGACTGGTTATCATATAAACGGGATATAGACCTTTCGGAAATTTTTTTACCGAGCCAATTTCACGATGCGGAATCCAGTCTGTTTCAAACACGTTTCGTACATTTTTAACGGTCTAGCAACTGACGAGTCCTCATCATCTTTTTCGACTTCTCGCGAACTTGTTATATTCTCTTTAATCACAAAGTGACTACCGGCAATAAAACTCTGGCGAATGCCTACGAAAAGAAGTAGGAGATCCACTTCAGTGAGATATCCTAATACCCACTGAGACCGAACTAGGTTATATTTAGGTTATTATTAACATCGGGCTGGAAATCTTGGAGGCCAATGTTCGTGAGCTTTTGCAGCAATGGCCTGATCAATGCCAAGATCAACATTGGCAAATAGCGGCATAAGCAGGTTTTTTGAAACTGCAGAAGTTTTACTCGCATCTTTAATCTTTAGTTCGCGTAAAAAATAATTAGAACCTTGAATATCTAAAGTGTTGATGTAGCCTAGCCCTCCAAGCATTTATCAAATCCTATAAGAACATATTGTGTTGAATTTACACAGATTTTGTAAAAAGACATGAACTAATCATACATATTTCAAAAGTTTTGATTGATTTGACATTTTAACAAAGCTTTCTTAGATTACTTTGCGTTTCCCGACGACTTTGCATTTTAACAGAAGTGTCCGCTGTTAAAATGCCATTTAACAGTAGTTTTCATTACTTTCCCGACGGCTTTGCACTTTAAGAGAAGTTTCCACTACTTGTTTGCCATTTAATACAGCTGAATGGCGTTACCATTTTTATTTATTTCATAACACCTTTTTTCTATACTAGATGTGAATTCGTTTTATGGCATAACTTTTATTTAAATAAAGCTTATACACATCCTACAAAAAATGGCAAAAACTGGAATGTAAGAGAATTCATTTCCCAAATAACTTTGTTTCTCGCAACACATTTTTTCGAAAATATTTGCAATTTATCAGTTATGCATTATTTAAGATGTAAGCCGGAATTTTGCTTCCAAAGCGCACAATAAATATGTATTCGACAACTAAATATAAATATTTATTTTATTTAAATATTGCGTAATGAATTATCACATAAGAATGCGGACTTTTCTATAAATTTAAGAAGAATAACGCACGATTGAATAACTACAGAGTTGTACAAATTTTGTCTTGACGATCTCAAAAAGAAATGTAAACCCTAATCTTTTAATGAAATTTTCATCATGTTCTCAAACAGTACATAAAACCTTAGATTTGGCAATACTATTGCAGCCAACTTCACGCGCGTTCTGTTATCTTTCTTTCTTTTTCTTCCGGCACAAGAAACAGCTACAGAGTAAAAATGGTGTGTTTTAGAAAAAAATAATGGAGAACTGTAAAAATAATTGATTACAGAACTTATCTAGTTTTCGTGTGATGTCTAATTTTTTCCATATTTCTTTCATTGAAGACAAAGAAGCGTCGTAATGGAGGTCGCTGCAAGCATAACAGAGGCCATGTGAAGGCAGTACGTTGCACCAATTGTGCTCGTTGCGTGCCTAAAGATAAAGCTATTAAGAAATTTGTGATTCGAAATATTGTTGAAGCTGCGGCAGTGCGAGATATTTCAGAAGCCTCCATTTGGGACAGTAAGTGTTAAATATAATTTGTTTTTAGTGCAATTTTATTTAAAGTAATTTATTTTACTTACAGCTTATATCCTGCCGAAGCTGTATGCTAAGCTTCACTATTGCGTTTCTTGCGCCATTCACTCTAAAGTTGTCAGAAATAGATCTAAAGCTGGCCGTCGTATTCGTACGCCACCCGTAAGGACTTTTCCTAAGGACATGGCACGTAATCAAGCTAGAAAATAGTTACTAGTTGCTAGTTATCAAATGTGAATAAAAGTTACAAAAACAGAAAATGGAGTGTACTATTAGCGAGTGCCAAGTAGAATTTACATTCAACTTGTGTAAATCCTCAAATGCCTAGTCTTTATCTAAAACCTGGGGAAGAATTATTGGATAATTTTCTATAAATAAATTTAATATATAATTTTAGTTTGAAATAAACCTGGACAAGTTCGACACACTACTCACAAGCATACTTTGGGGAGCAGACCTATGAAACAGTATTTGATTGGAATTATGAATTGTTGACAAAATCAATGGGGCACCATTTAATTCAAAATTTGCCTCTTGCCCAATAGTCCACTTAAATGAACGTTTACATTAGAAGAGGTATAAAAAGAATCGAGTTGTACGTATCAAAGCGGAAGTAGGCCTGTTTAACCTACACCGTTGAATACTTGTTTACGAAAAATTATTGTTTGCTTGATAAAAGCTTTCTCGTAATCTTTACAAACGTATTTTCCAGTGCATCTCTTGAATTTTATTCGCTGCCGTTTACTTGAAAGGTGATGTGAAATTAAAAAAATTCGACTTCGGCGATTTGCACAATTTTCCTTTGGGGCATATTATCTATTTGAAAGCTATAATCCATTAAAATGCATGGATTTTCTAGACTATTTGTTAATAATAATCAGGTTCTTTGTTAAAAAAGTGAAACATGGTACTCTTGTAGAACTTACCTAGTAGATATAAATTTCTTCACATGGGATTCTAATTTGAGGGGCCAATAGGTTTGCTAAAACTATGGAAAGGGTTATCTGTCTTTCAAAACGAATCGAAATATGTGCGTTAAGCGTTTCGTAAGTTTATAATAAATTATGTAACCTACCATAGCCTGAAAACAAAGTAGTAGTAAGAGGTATTTTTCCTATATTTTAAATGAATCTTATTGTACAAATATTTTATCTCCAACCAGTTGTCATTTTTCGCCCAAAATTATTATTATGACAGTACAGTAAAATGTCTGGATTTTGGGAAGAGAAAGTAAACAAATAAGTTTCGCAAGCCCCTTTTGATCTTTACACCATTACGGAAATTTTGCAGCGTTGGGGATAAGTCGTAAAGCATGCGGCAATAGCCCGCCTATATGTAGGACGCATCATAGCTTCCAGCTAAAGTGTCTCAATTTTTTGCACTTCATGAAAGAAAGGTATGATCTAGCATGGACGCCTCTCGACTTTCGACATTTACTTCACTAACGCTTTTTAATCGGAGCGGAGAGTGGAATCGATAGTCTAACCATGTTGAAACGGCTCATGATGCATGATTCCCTTCCAGTCCTATCAAACGCAAAGCAACACGTTTGCAGATTCACACATATTGGACAGCGATCTTTTTCGTACGTTTACAGAAAAGGCTTGATTTCGAATTGTTTCAGCGGCGATTAGCAAATGGATATTCGGTCCATTTAATTCTCCGCTGTTAATTCAGCGCCGTATAGAATTAATACTATTGTTGATTATCACAACATCAATATTACATTTTTAAACTTGACCTTCCTGCCGCGGTTCTCTCATTGGTTGAATCATATCATGACATCCTGTACTTTACGATAAAGGGAACTTAACTACCCCGACGATCCAGTAATACAGAACCGGTTGTCCCGATTCTGCGTCGCTCCAAGGCGAAGTTGAACTTTGCCGCGGCAATGTTGTAAACTACGATTGCAAACGTGTTATTGAAGGAGCTGACGGAGTTTGTACTATAGTCGGTACGCGTAATAAACTTGTACCCTCCGCTAAACTTTCAAGAGGTTTAGCAAATTTGATACAAACTATGAATGCTGAAAATATCGAAGATTCTTTTCATTTTATATAAATCATATTAGTTCCTCATAACTTATGTAAACACCATAAAGGCAAGAATATTGTTTTTTTTTTTTTAATTAAATTTGATTTTCCTTACCAATGTGGAATTACCTACGGAATAATTCTTTTTTGTCTCGGCTACTACCGATGATTCATCTGACAATCACGATATATATAGTTTTAAATTTTATAGCCTGGATTCAAATGCAACGGTATGTGATAACTAAGTTACAATTAATCCGCCTGAGTGGCCGAGTAGGCAAGAGTGTCGACTAGTAACTCAATAGTCGTGGGTTCAAACCTCAAGTGCGGAAGAATTTTTAATAAAAAGCCGATAGCCCTAGATGCTAGTGCTTTAAGACTTTAGTCTTAGAATTTATTCTCTGGCTAAATTTATAATAATAATAATAATAAGTTACAATTATAGCACGAAATGATAATGACTCGAGCGAATAACTCAACGCTAAGATATTCGATCTGCCTCGAGAAATTAAATTCTTCCTGTAGCTTTTGTCCGACGGCGATCAAGCTCGTTAGGTTTTATTTTGATAGTTGGTGCCAAAGCGTGAAAGTCGGCGACTTCTCTTAGATTAGATCCGTTCACTCTGGCGTACACCAAGGCTCTAGCAGCATTGCTGCACGACAGGGTACCGGGAGCCGAGACAATGATTGAAGTTGGCAGCGATGAACAAAGTATTGCCAACTAAGAGGAAAGCGAATTGGAAAGCGAAAATGACAACAGTAGTGCAGATGACTCTAACGGAGATTGTATTGAAAGGAAATCTGTAAAAACGTCACCTGAGATTCCCTCCGATGTCAAAAAACTTAATGAAAAAGAGTCCGAGACAGTTAGCAGTGCGCGCAAACGGCGGTTGGAAAAGGAATATTCAGAATTAGTGAAATTCGATAACATCGACATGATTTGTAAGGAATGTAAACACGATAAGGTTTGGAAAAGAGTAAAGATGGGCACTCAGGTCGCAAAAAATGCAGTTGGAAAGATAGAAAGAAACCAATCGCGAGAAACGCAAACAAAAAAATTTCGTTGCGATCCGCTACAAGGCCCAATCGAAAGCAAAAAAAGCTTTCGTGAAAAACAAGAACCTTTAAGATGGCATTTGTTGCATCAAAGAAAATGAAATAAGTATAGGAAATTAATAAAAGTTCATTTTTACATATTTTATACGCACTGTTTACGTGCACGGCTTACAATTACTTTATGTATCTTTAATTTATGCAACACAAGAGTAATTTTTAATTTAATATTAAATTTTATTTGGTATTTCGCTATTTTCTTTTTTTTCCAATTCTTTTTATAATATTTTTCGTTTTGTTTAACAATCTTTCACTTTGTCAACTTTTTCTCAACTCAACTTGTAAAATGGCTTTGACTTCCCGCTAAAAACCATTTTTTCGTTTACAAGATTTGTAAAAAAAAGTATCATGTGTTGAAAATAAAAATAGAACAGAGTTGCTTTCAATAAATGACAACGAATAGTTTTGTGTTAAGCATTGAAAATGAACGCCAAATCGCTGTCAAACAAAAAAAGCTTAGAGAATAAAATCGCGAAACCAAAAAAAAAAGAAGTGCGCAATAAGAACGCTCTGAAAGGCTATGGGCGAAGATTTATTAAGAGGTTTAGCCATGTGTAAAAGCTAAAATCTGATCTGATTCAACGAGTGAACGACGACTTCAGCTGCATCGCACATTGGTCCGTTGGCAATAATTTGAAAATTAATTCGAATAAAACGACGGCGATCGTGGTATCACCGAACGTTTACGATTCCGACTAACATGGTTAAGTACGCTGCCAGTATTGGCTTGGTAATTACCTCATGTGTGAGTAAGTGTAAGTGCAGGTGACACATCGACCTTATGACTGTGCGGATTCACAATATTCTAAGAAAAACTGCGTTTATCTTCCTTGTACGTATCGATTCATGGCAAGTTAAAACTAATTAAATGCCTCGGTGGGCCACTTATATGGTATGGAGCTAAATAATACCTTGATTGCGCCTCGAGCGTCAAGCTACACTTTGCTGTCAATAAATGCAGCAGATGCGTTTTCAATCAGCACAAATACGACAGAATTTCGCGGTTTTCGATAGAGATTTTAAATTCTGATCTATCGTCGTTTCCTAATATGTGAAATGCGATCTTTGCCCATAACCTCATTTTTACTTGTAAAACATAATATCTATTTGAGAAAATCCGGTTTGTGCGATGCAGACGTATGATGAATTTAATTCTCCCAGACCATAAATAAACTTCGGTGCTCGCAATCATAGAACTTTTTCAAACGTTTGAAGTATAACTTAACGAAAGTTATTCATATAAAGGGATTGGCTAGTATTTAAAATAGATCAACAATAAGCCGCTCACATACAGACAAAATAACAAACTACTACTGCAAGAGGAAATATGAGGTTACATTGCCATTCCCGCTCGAACAATATATATCATATCCTTATGTTCTTTGATAAATGCGTTTTGAATTTCTGTATCCTCAACTTCAACCTTTTTATGAATCAATTTAGCTCAAGGCTTTAATCAAGAATATTTAATGGAGACTTATTTCTACATTTTTTTGTTACATTAAGAATTTTTCCAGCAACTGGAATTAGAATAAACTGAAATAATTTTCATATCTCTCAATTAATATGTGAAAATCAATATATTTGTATGCATCGCAAAGTGCATTTTATTTATTGTGAACTACTCGTATAAATGTGTAAATGCCTAAACGTGTGGCGATATGCTCTTTGGGGGTGTGCTGCTTAGCGGTGCGTTGGACGGTGTGTTTGTTGATGATGATCTGTATAATGGAACAATTAATTGATTATGGAATTTTTCTTTAAATGATGAACATAAGCTTACCATTGGCATAAAGCAAATGTTGCTTGACGATGAGCGGCGTGTTGGGCGGTGTGTTCCTTTTATATTCTAAACTAAAATAAAAATAAATAAATATATAATAATTATATAAAATATATATATATATATATAAATATATATCCTTGCGTGGCGGTTTGCTTCTTGCTAATGTGTTGTTGGACAATATGTTCTGGCAGTATCCTTCTTTTGTATTCTAAAATAAAATAAAAATAAATAAATAAATAATAATTATATAATCACATTTACATATATACATCCTTGCTTAAGGGTGTGCTGCTCGATTAAAGCTTACGAGTTATATTAGTAACAGCTTTTCCCTAAATATTGATGTTATTTAGAAGCACATGCAAAATATATTCTAATAAGTTAAT